ACTTTTTTGCTATTATTGGGATGGGATGGTACAAAACCGTTCGTCTCCATTCGAAACCTGAGTCGATCGATAGTATTTAATCAAATAATAAATCAGATTAGATGGTGACCACATGAGGTGGTGGGCGTGTAGAGTTTGGAGAATGATTGTGTAGATTTCCGTAAATTACGGAGCTCCATTGGAAAATAAATTCTCACACCAGACGATCCATGTTCGATGTATATTGTTAGAGAAAACCTAATTTAATATTTAAAAGCAAAAAAATATAGAACGGCAAATTCATGTGTACATCTATCAAAATCAATATCATTATCACCCATGTGTCATATTCATGTACATCAATATATCATTTCTCGTTTTCTGGATTAAATGTCCAAAATAATTTGTTTCAAAAAAAAAAATGTCCAAAATAATGACAATTTTTATTATATCTTCTTTAAATTATTATTGTCGCTTTACTCTTTTCTTTTCAAAACCAGGCTTTCCCAAAGTTTGCGGATCGACACGTTTTCACCACTAAAACCATTGATGTTATTTGTTGTTATGTGTATAAAAAAGTTATAGCACAGTAGTTCATGTGGTTTCATATTGGATACGTAGTAGAGTAGTGAGTGTATCACTTTTACCGTAGTATTTAGTATAAGGGAAAATAATTCACCGTAGTATTTAGTATAAGGGAAAATTTGTTGCATAAGAAAAAATTATATCTAAAAAACTAACCAAATATTTTCTATGTGACAAATTTTCCCTCATTTTCATCATTATTTGTTTTCGTTTATGTATTTCATTGTTTTGGTATATCCATACTAATTTATCCGTTGTCCTAGCTATCGTATCCTCAGCATCATGCTCTAGTTTTAAGATATATGTTTTAGAATTATAGTACAATTTTCCCAATCAACTATTTTTTTCACTTAAATTTGTCTGATATACTATTTATGACCTCCATTTTTTTTTTAATCATACTCATATATATAGGTAGGCCATGAGAAATAATTTGAAGTTAAAATGTTAGAACCGACGGAATGGTGAGTGGATAGCTTCAGTTTCATGGTACCGACTACGAGTCTACGACCGATACAGCCCAAAAGTTAATTAAAGTAAACTGTTTTTCTTTTGATATATATATGTATATAATATTGGATAATGCTTTGGCTATAATCTAAAATCAACAAACATAATCTCCTTTTAATGATATGTTTGTCCCCTTAAATCAAGGGAAGATTGGTGGCTTCAGCCGTACTCTTCCAAGGACACAAGTAAACAACTCTCCATCCCTAATATAATTACATAAATTAGTTGTTTATCGGAGAAGTTTGAGAAAAGCTTAATTAAACTTTAGTACGAAGCGATAAATT